AATCACTGGGTCAGATAACCCTTTAATCTGGAACGTACTAGTAATTACGAGATGGAGCTAGCATGCCCCAGGGCAAAGGTTTGTGGAAATTGTAATTCAAAAGATTTTGAGGACTCTAGATTACCCACCACCTAGCCAATCACTGGGTCAGATAACCCTTTAATCTGGAACGTACTAGTAATTACGAGAAACATATAATTTCTCCTCCAGCCTCTTAATGTAAGTCATATTGTAATATGTGATTAAGTATTAATATGTGATTTGTAAACAGAATTGTAATGGCAAAACATACTTTCATATATTTAGTGAGGGCAATGTGATTTAAACTTTCCAGCTTTCTCATCTATTCATTTGTACAGATTGTTCTGTTTCTTTTGTAAAAGAATAATATGAACTGTTACCTAACTGAAACAAGTTACATGTAGATATTGTTCTTTTTGATTTTTAGTTTTATACTTCCTGAAAAGTTGGAGTTTATTGTCAACAAGTACGCTGAACATACTCATGAAAAATGGGCCTGTGACAAGGTATAGATTATTATAGATCTAACAACTGTCAGAAAAGGGCAACCAACATCCAAAGTGGATTTTAGAAATTTGTTCAGTTTGTCTCCATGACAAATTTCCTGTTCAGAGTCCTAGACTAAAGCAGAGCATACATTCTAGCAATGTCTTTCCACTTTCTTTTTTCCTTCATCACACCTGTGGATTTCCTGACAGCTTTGAAACCTGATTAAAATTGTCAGAATATGTACATTTTAATTATAACAATTATTAATAACTTGGAAAGAGTTTTGTCTTACATGTAATTTTAAAAACAATTAGGTCAATTAAGAGCAGGGATGGGAAATGGAGGCCAAAGAAGCACCACATGTGGAAGGAGGACTAAGGACTGCAATGAGGGTGGGCCATCTTATCTATGTGAGTGGGGCTGGGGAATGTTGTGGGTGGGTTTGGTTTTTAAAAATGTGGTAGCCTATTTGAGAGCTTATACTATTGATCTATTTAACACCTGAACATGACATAAAACTGGGTTTTAATTTTCAGCAATTACAGCCAGAAAGGGGTCCAACAGCCACAGAAAGGACATTCAGGGACCACATGCAGCCCCACAGTTTGTAGATTGGCCACTCTTGACTTACAGACTTGTTTTTTCTTTGGTGCATTGCTATCTCAAGTAAAAGACAAAAAACATATTAACCGATTGACTGTTTTAAACATGGCCAGACAGATACAGATCCTCCTAAATTCTGAAGGTTTTTTGTTATTGTTACCAAAACCTTTATTAGTGTTCAGTAGAGCATTGACATAACTCAAGATCTCATTAATCCAACCACATGAATGTGCATTTGCCCCCCCCGGGGGGGGAGGAATTGTATTATGGTTGCTATTTCCTGACCATGTAAAGTTTCTGACCCCACACTGAGAGCTCTAATTGTCTATAGTTTGTAAAAGTCTTTATATGCATTCTAATGAATGTCTGTGGGTTGAGGAAGAAGTCAACTCTCCATTACTGCTCTTACCACATCAATTTAGACATTATTCAAATAAAAAGTATGGCTTGTGGTTTTGTTCTGCTCAATTTTGTGTTGTCTTAATTGCCCTTTCAATATGGTTATATAGAGCTTTGAAATGCTCTTTTGGTCAAACGGCAACCTCTAAATTTTAATATACATAAAAGATTTATATTCTTCAAGTACAGCAGAGATGAATTGCCTTTAAATGGCTGACTAAACCTTGTTCTCTCTGCCTGCCCTACCTGTATTGCTACTGTCATAAGTACCATCTCTCTCCTGTGTGTCTTCACTGCCACCACTACCAGGACTTCAAATCCTATGTTGCAAAACTGTTTTTCAACCAACCTCTTTAGCTGTCACTCTTGCAAGTCCCTTTTCCATCCTATCTGCTTGCTTTGATTAGTCATTTTTCATCATTTCGAGCCATGTAGAAAACACATGCTAAGAGAAAAACTAAAACAAAAACAGAATAAGGCTCCAGAAAGTACGTATAACTAAGCTGATAAAAATAATATTTGCTTATAATCAGATGTGTGCTTCTAATTCACACAGGAAATTCCCCACTCAGTAAGATATAAATCAAAGAATAATATGGATGGAATTTTCCATTCCATCTAAAGCAGGGTTCCTCAACGTTGGCAACTTTAAGATGGGTGGACTTCAACTCCCAGAATTGCTGGCTGGGGAATTCTGGGA